TGATTGATACAGTGATTTTTTTTTTTTTGCAGGATATCTATATTATTCCGTGTTAAACACTATGTAAGAGCGGGTGAATATGCACTAGTCGGTGACCCATATGTTTATCACGATGACTTCGGTTGTGCTACCAAAAAGTTGGACGCTTTTTGTTCGCATTGTATTTGATATGAAATATTGACCTTTAGAGGTCAATTTGTTTGTTAACATTATTTATTATATAATAATATCATTTATCTATTTATTAATTTCAGTGTTTGTTTATTTCATTTCTTTAAAACACAATTTCTCACCTCATTAAATTAATACCGGTAATAACGTAAAACTGATGTCAATGTTACGTTTCATCTTACCTGTCACGTATTAGACTTACTTTGAACTGTAATAAGTCATTTAGGATTATTTTCCAGCACTGTGCTGTTACGTTTCTTTCTATTATTGTTTGTCATTTATTGAAATGACAACTTTGTGTTTTTTTCTTGACGTATAATTCACGTTTTTCTTTCGGCTGAATTATCTATCATCAGTGTGCTGTTTATTTTGCTAACATTACTCCAAACTTCCTTTCAATTCAAATTTTAATTTTTTGACAGATTATGTTTCATGTAGTCTCGAAGTAATTTTTTTGTAGCATAACATGCACATAACATGCACACTTCCCAATGATTGCATTATCTTTACCAAAGACAATCATCTTTCAAATTCCCTCCTCATGTATATTTGCACTTTGACCTTTACAGTTCACTTCAAAATACATTTGACGAGATTCATTCATTGCTATTGTCGATCACTTTTACATAGTGAGGTGACAAAAGCAATTGTCATCAAATAGATGCGAAAGTCCCATCATTTATTTTACATTTCCTTAAGTAATCGATATTATAAATCAATTAATATAGAGGACTTTTTTTTTTGGACCATTACAATAAAGAAAGAAATTTTAAAAGAAAATTTTTTTTTTTGCTAGGCCTTTTTTTAAGCATAACTTTGCTAATGAGTAATTTCTTTGTGTTCTTTCAATCATTTCCATCAAGAATTGAAGCACAATTTTTTAAAACTTTAAAAGTTTTACACTTTTCATCGATTTGTTCTTCAAATTATTTCGTATCTGACCACATACAGTGCGCTTCTATTTTCATCGAAATATTTTGATCCGAAATATTGTATTTATTGTTATCATTTTGAATTTTACATTTAAATTTGTTGCTCACATTTTGCATTATTCTCTTTCACGTCCGATTGAATTTCTACGTGTTCTTTTCAAGCAATCTTCCAATTGCTTATATCTTTGTCATTCTCTGATAATTTGTCACAACTTGTCACTTGTTTGGGAAAAAGAAAAAATTGTCGTTTACTTTTGGTTATGTTGCAATTCAAAGACTTTATGTTAATCTTATCCCGTAGACTTTTATTTGAAGAAGTTCGAGATTAATTATCAAGATTAGTTATATTCAATTTAGTTTTCATCTAATTAGATGTTTGCAGAAAAGATCGGTTTGTGCATCCGGCGTTCATACTTGCAATCCGGAAAACTTGCACTAAACAATTTTTATTAAAAATTTGTCAGCAATTTCTTTTTTCATCCTATTTCGCTTAAATTTTGTAAAATAAATTTACTATTAGTACGGTTGAATTTGAAAAATAACACATCCAATTGCGTTTTATAAATGAAAATTTATCTTCGGATAATATGAACTGATCAGAAACAAAAGAAAAGTAAACATTTCCTTCTCTATTTTCTTTTTAGGAACAGATTTTATGTTAACACAGCAAACGTAATTGTTTGATTTCTTATTTAAGTGAAAAAATTTCTACAACAAATTTTAACAAAATTAAATCATCATAAAGCTCAAATTCAGAAAAATACTTCAATTATTTAAATGACATTTCAAAAACAATTCGAATAATCCATTTGAGTATAACATTAACAACATTTGCTTCAAATAGCTTTGTTTAAATGCATCAAATAAATTTTATGAAGTTTTGGGATTTCTTTCTTCCGCTTCAAAAAAAAAAAAAAGTTCCTTTAAAAATTATTTTCATATATTGCTTCTTTGAAAATAACTACTCCTTAAACCATTAATGTTAATTAAATCTTATTAAATATCTTCTCGTTGTTAAGATTGAGATTGATAAAATTGAGCTGTATCATTGTTATATATCAGTTTATCATTTCTGAATGATAAACTATAGTGATAGCTATAAGAGATTACTTAACAGATTGACTTATACTGCAAGTAAAACGAAATTCTTTTCAGTTAATAAATATTTTTTTCCTTAGTATATCATTAGATAATGACAACACGAATGTCACATAAGTGTCACATTTAGGAATTTATTTTGTTGATGCAAAAATTTATTTCAATCATAGTTGGATTGAAATGTATTAAATGCTGTTATATTCTAAATAAAAATTTTTTTTTGATTAGCTTAATTTAATTTTAGCTTACTTCATTCTTTCAAATAAAACTTTAACACAGTTCGATTAATATTATTTATTTTAGTAATTAACTAACTAATTAATTAATTAATTTCATTTGCTTCGCTGGCTCGATTTTAGTACCACTCGTGTATTTTCCACTTTCAAATATCTCATAGATAATTTCGGAATTTTAGCTACACAGTTGTTTAACATAATACTGGACTAGTTACTACTTGAATTGAAAAATAGCCTAGAAATCTAGAAATCCCAGCCACTATAGACATTTTTTTGTTTTCTTAAAAAACTTTTCCAATAGTAATAATTTTATTGTTTGAAATGCACAATTAAATTTTGTTCGTTTAATTTTGTATCATAGCAATTAATTTCATTCATAATAACATTCAATGAATCAATTGTTTTTATTATTAATGTATATTTTTCCATTCTTTTAATATTCGAACTTGAATAAATTGAATATTAAATAAATTGAGAATAAATTAAACAAATTTTGAGAATAATTTTAAAAATGATACTTGAATTGATTTAGTTTTTTTTTTTTTTTAAATATATAAGGAGTAAATAGAGACATTGAAGAAGTATGTCAGACTAACAGTGATAACAGCTGTGATTATGAGTGATTAGAGTAACTTATGACCTTTGTTCTGTTCTCTTCATATTGGTATCAATTTATCTCTTGCATAATTATCTATTTTACTACTTCAGTCTATAAAAGATGGGATAATCTTATTAGATTGTTAATGTCTAATCATTTCACCTTTCTTTTCTTACCTTTTACACCTATGAATAACTTTTTCTCCTTTGAAGTACATTTGTCAACCACTTTATGATTTATCACTTTCCACATTTCAAAAAGGATTTGAAACTATTTTCAACAATTTTTGAGATGTTTTAAATCTTTTAAATTATCTTAAGATAATTTACTTTACAATGAATAATTTATTTGACATATGTTTAATGTTACACAATTTCTTGTTCGTTTTCCCATTCAATAACGTTTTCTTTTTTACTTTTAGTTGATTTAGAATTATTGTTTGAGTGATATTTAATTTATTTTTAAACGAAATATATTATTAATTTATATTTATTACTTTAATTGAAATTTCTGCACCAATTTAGTTTTAAAACAAGGGAATGAAACAAAAAAAAAAAAAAAGATTGGCTGTAAAAGAACAATTTGCGCTTGAATTTTTGAATGTATCCCGAAACTCATATTAATTTTATTTAATAAAAATGAATATTTTTTCATTTTCTACTTGAGGAAAAAATTGTAAAAAACGAGATTTCACTCTTTAACAAAGACATACTAAGCACTCTTAAAAATTTTGAAGGTCATTTTATCATATTTTGTTGAATCATTTCATTTCATAACGATTTATTCTACCAGAAATGTTGTCCTGTTTATGGTCACTGCAATTTACCTTCATTTATTCGAATCATTTTTAAAAAAATATCATTTTTATGAGTGAGAAAAACTTTGTTGAGATGAAATTACAATAAAGCGTAAAAATTAAACAATGAACTGAGCTAAAAATGTTTGCTTCACTCATAAACATTTATATGTGACCTTTAAAATTAACATTTCATCGATGTTTTATTAAAGTTCAAGAGACGACAAAAAAAAAAAAAAAATTTCTGTTTCATCGCTCAATTATGCTGACAAAATTTTTTCTGAAATTGATTTCTCTCAATCAGTATTAAACCATTGAGATTAGCAACGTCCATATTTCATCTCCGGATTTAGTCCCAGTCTATACCGGAAAATAGACTCTGAGTTTTCAGTTTCTGAAAATATTAAGAGTAAATCATATAGGATAGTGTTGAAGTAATTTAATTTTTGACCAGTCTAATATCATAGATGAAAAGTCCAATTTCACTTATCATTTTTAACTATTTCAGATTCAGATTTTCTATCATCATTTTCCATAATATCACTGATTAAAAATAAACTAATTTGGATTTTTGCTAGTTTTTATGGCGCATATATCTCACATTGTAATTCTAATCGAATCATTAATTTCATTCTTTACCCTTTGCATAATTATTCGTTGCATTATCAGCTAGAATGTATTCTTTTCCTACTTAATGTGATATTTCTGTAATTTCTATGTCAGATAGATCAAATAGGGTCGATCATAGGAAATTAAATCTCGAAAGGTAATGGATGAGAAAGATAGAGGAGATAAACTAGCAGAAAGGTAGCAGTAATTTGTATTACTTAACTGTAGCAGTAATTTGTATTACTTACTTTAAAAGAAATTCACTACGTCTAACTGTACAATGATTGAATTTCAAAAAAGGCAATTGTAAGATCAACAAGGCTGATAAGCAACACTTTCATCAATTAATGATAAATGATAATTGACGATTTTATCAGATGTTCTTGTCTTAATTGTATGAGATTGTTAATGTTTTTGTTGAAATGAAGCCAATTTAAAGCTGTAAATTTTTCATTCGATTTAGATGATTTTTTCACCAAGTTATCAATTAATGATAAAATTAGTGGATGTGTTATCAGTGGAAATTTAATAGATGGAAATATCGCTGAATTGGAAAGAATATGTTGCGCGAATTTTTACTCATTCCAATTGGAATGATATTAATCATATTATGGATCATTTCGTTGCGTCCTTCCATTGAAAATGTCAACATTCAACGATCTTTCAGTCAACAAAGTATGTTTATTTTACTTTCTCCTCAATTCTTCAATATTTTTAAATTATATTTCAAATGATTCACTCTCCTATTTTCACAGTTTATATTAATTTTCCTTCTTAGATTATTGCTTTTTTTTTTTTTTAATTAGTTGGCGGCTTTTTGAACATTATGTTTGCTTATTTTATGATAAGTAAACATTATTGCTTATATTTTATAATAATTGAACTTTAGTTGCTTAATGACTTTAGCAATATTTTTTTTAACTTACTATTTTTTTAATGATCTCATATGAAGTTGCCAGAGCTTTTTTTTTTCCTTATCAGTGAATTAATTTAAAATTTTTAATTGAATTTATTTAAATCTTTTTTTATCCATATTTTGCTAAAAATTATAAGCAATTTTATAATTTTTTCAGTTCAAGCAAAAGATTTTTTTAATGCAACAACAACAAAAGTAAGTATGGATGAATTGCTGCTATTGGATAGAGCTGAAACAGTTAAACGAAAGGTTTTCTCTTTCATCAATTTTCATTTATTTCGATTCTTATTTAACAGAGAATTTTTAGCTTCCATTGCTATCAGCTTATATTCTGGAGGATGAAATATGCAAGCAGTTACTAATGAGCTACAAATATTCAAAAATGCCTCAAATAAACAAAGTTTGAGTTTTTTTTTTTTTTTTGATTTTATGTAAACAACCGCATTTGCTTCCATTCTTTCCAATTTGTTGCGAGAAAATTAAATTGACTTTTGAAACTAAATCGTTTTTCTTTTTTTTTAAGTACGTGGTAACCGTTAATAGAAGCAGCGATAAGCATTGGGATACTTCCTGTAAAGCTATCCGTCAACGAGGCTTTTATCCTGAAATGCCATTTTCGAGTGCTGAAAAAAACTTCCCAATTGCCTTCATTAGAATTGTTTACAAGGTTAGACATAGGCCTAAAGGCCTTATCATCTTTGGTTCAGTAACTTATACTCTTTCTGTTACTGATTACTGTAATGTTGTGATACTGTAATTATATTACCGTATTACTTTGTTACTGTAATATTAGTGTTCACATCTTTTATCAAATAATCTGTTTGTCCTTAGTTCACATATCACTGTTGCAGGATTTTCATTTACAAGAACTTCTTTTCAATTTAATGTATGCACCACAAAATTTTTACTGCTATGCATTGGATGCTAAGTCCACGCCATTATTTCATTCACAAATGCGCAATTTGTCAAAGTGTTTTCCGAATGTATTATTAACGGAACGAGAATACGAGGTTGATAGTGCAGGTCATAACATGTCACGCAGTTTTCTGGAATGCTTACGTATGGTACGAAGATTACTAGGCTGGAAATATGCTATCCTATTGCAGGTTTCTCTTTTCATTAATTCCTTCCTTTTATAAAATTCATTTTAATTTCACTACTCTGTGTACCTTTTTTAAACTTTGCACGTTTTTCAAACTCTATGCTTTACTTATTTGGATTGTTCGGCTTCTTCTTTTCTGTTATTTTCATCCTTTAATTCCAGAAAAGATCAATTTAAACGTTTCCAAGGCAGAAAATTAGATTCTTATATGGAAACTTCAGAATAATGACATACCATTGAAAAGCAATCGAGAAATGGTGCAAATTCTGAGCGCTTTAAATGGAAGTAATGATATCAACATAGGATATCCGAATGCAGATCGTGTACCTAATGGCGCTCCTTGGACTTTTCGAGCACTTACACTTTTCAATGGTCAGCGTCTTTGGTAATTGTATTTTGTTTTTGATGTTTTGGAAGATATGTAATGGTCAGTCTGTTTATTAAATCAGATGAACTTTTTAGATGAGAAGCAAAACGATGATCGTAAGTTACGGATAGCAAAAGGAAGTACGTCGGCATCATTAAGTTATGCATTTGTAGAATTCGTTGTTGACAAATTGAATCTAACCATTTTGCTTGATAAATTCGATCGTCTAAGTTATGGTGTAGATGAAATGTTGTTTCCGTCATTGAATTCCGAAGATTCTTTAGGTTAGTTCTTGTTGATAAAAGGATTCTTTAAATTAGTTCTTAATGATTAAATTTCAAGATCGCCTAAAACAAATTCCATTTTCATTAAGATATCTTTGTTTTTTTTTCAAAAATTTCTTTACAAGATTCATATTCCAGGTGCACCCGGTGGATTTACGAGACAGTGTATTGATGTTTACAATAATATGATCACCAGGTATTATTAAATTTATTTAATTATTACCATTATTATTAATTATTATTATTAACCTGCGATTAGTTTAATGGAAGGAAATTGAATGAAAGCTTGAATGCATATCTTCATAAATTCTCATTCCAATGCCTCACATTAAAATTTATAAATGATAACAACTGATTGATTAACTGCAAAGTTAAGTCACATGCTTAAAAAAATTGAAATAAGTTGAAAAAAAATGTGAAATATCTTTTAAAAAATCATAAAATTATATGATGCTATTTACTAGTTCAGATGAAAGTAATTACTATTAATACTGATAGTTTAATACTTAAGCAAAATATCAATTGTAATAATCAGATTTGATTTGTTAAATGTTCTCAGATACGTGGTGTGGAAAAAATCCACGAAAAATTGTCGAAGTGGTCAGTATCGCCATGATATTTGTATATTTGGTATTGCTGATTTACCCACAATGGCTACTTCTAGAGCTTTATTTGCTAACAAAATGCTTCCGGAATATGACTATACTGCAATCGGTTGCTGGGCTCATTCCCTTCATAATCGAACTTACTCTGCTGCTAAAATTATGCCTATAAAACTTAATTATTATGCTAATCGTTTACCGGTTCGATTTCATAACGAACGAGAAAGATGGAAATTAAACTTATCAGCTTTTAATTGCTCTTGTTGTTAATTAATTTTATATCTTATCTGATATTGATATTGAGCAGGTTGTACAAAGTTTCATGCACGTATCAAGTTGAAATACCCTATCTATCAATTCAAGGTATACTAATTTCATGCTTATCACAATTTTTTAGCTGTCAAAAATTTGAATTCCAGTAGTATGAATGACATTCATTAGATAAGTTTATTAATTGTTCCATGTAAAAACACCTTTGTTTGCTCAGGTGTATAGGTATTACTGATAAGATATTACTATAAATAACATGGTTATGTTATTTATATTTTGATCGTTGTTACTTTATTCAATTACATTAATGTTATTTCTTTTAATAAAGAACTGAAATGTAAAGTAGTGCTTTTGAAATTAAAATGCTACAAAATAAGATTTGAATTTATTGGCGTAAAGAAAGATATATATGACAAATGGAGTGCATTTAATTGGATAATAAACTATTCTAAACTCTAAGTAAAAATTTTTTTCAATTTTTGAATTTTGAAGAAAGAAGCATTTTCTTTAGTTTTTCTTTTTCGGTAGTAATTTCGAAAAAATAATATTTTTTTTTTTTGATTTCGAAAATAAGTTTGAAGAAAATTGTTTTGAATGAAAGTGATTATTCATAATTTTTAAATATGGCTGTTCTGTTTAATACTTATCATTTAATGAACATATTTAATGTTAAACTATTTTTAGCATTCAACTTAGTAAACAAGAAATACAACAAGACATTAAGCAATAAGCCCTCTAGGCCTAGACAATTTGTCCATGTGAAAAATGCATGATGAAAAGATTTCAAGAATAGATTAAAATGAATGGAAATAAATTCAGGAAATTATTTGAACTAAATTACTTCAAGTCCATATTATTCTATTTCAATACTCTTTTGCATTAATTTTCTTTTTCCCTTATTTTCCAACATTTTCTAATCTGATCTATTTTCTTCGTTTTAGTTGCATCTTCCAATCTTAGACAAAACTAATTTTGACGAATTCATCATTTTTCTTCTTTTTGCTAAATTTCAAATCTCTAAAGAATAGTTTTAATTCATTTCTTCAAATTTCTATCTAAATTCTCGACAAAAGTTTGTATCTTTTTAATAGATGTCTATCGATATTTTCCATTATGAGTGTCATCAATTTGTCACATCAATAATGCATCGTCATAGAAGAGTATATCTCTTTGCTAATAGCTGACATTGGCCTAATATTTTGTGTTGAAATAGGTGAGAAATTAATTAAATAATTTTGCATCTACAGGTATTTTTCAATTGCTTTTGATGAGTGACAAAGTGAAATGTGCTGAATAAGCTTAAAAATTCACTTTTCTCCTTAAAATGTTAAAATAGATTATATGATTAAAAGATTGGCAAAGACAGTAAAATGGTTTTTACATTCAACGCCTAATTTTTTTTTTTTAATTTTAAATGCTTAATAAATAAATCCGCTAAAGCTTATCGAACGCTGTTTTTAAAACTTTTTCTTCAGATAAATTAATTCTTCGTGCTTCTCAGAAGTCGTGGCGCTAAAGTGAACGAATAATGACGCTGGTCAATTTGTCCTGAACTAAAAAATTGTTTCACGAAATTTGTATCTCTTTTTATCATAGAGCAAAATCCTAGTGAAATGATAATCTTCCATGCTGAAAATATGACCTGCCCAATTTTGGTATGTGCTTTCAGTAACCTGAAATTGATTAGACCGTCGTCGATATTATATCGAGTGTAAATACCGTTGTCTTAATTGAAATCTGCCATGACTCTTTGGAGCAGCTCAATGAAGAATAGTATGAATAAGTTGGCGTAAAGACGTAACATAAACGTTTTACTTACTATAAGCCTTTTCTACTTACGTAGTAATCAAATGCTTCGGCGAAGTCAACGAATGTCACGTGAAGTCTTTTGTTTCCTATACTTTTTATGCAGTTGTAGGAGAACAACTTTCATGTCTCTGTTAGCTCTAAAATCATATTAGCTTTCGGGTAAAAGTGATTCGTGGAAGAATTTTACCAACTGTAGAGAGTAAAGTAATAAAGGTAAAGAGTAAAGTAAAAATAAAGTAATAAAGTAAATCTCGATAATTTAAGCCATCAGAATTTTTCTTACTCATAGAATGTATGTGCCTTTCATGCTTCCAAATTTCCAATGTAATTCCATCAATTCCAGATTCTTTTATCAGGCTTCAATTACGGTATATTACAGTATATTTCAATTACTGTAGTTAAATTTTCACTAATTGTTGAGTGAAGTGCTAAATTATTGAGTGTTTAACTGAACAGTGTATACTGAAAAGAATTCTCACAGGTACTCAATCATTAATTAAGTACCTGTGAGAGGGCAAGGGTCATCGTCGTCATCTGAGCTAAGGCAGGGATGTGAACTTGATGTGTTGTTGGTTCATACAATACTTTGTAGATTCCTCTGTAGTTGCCGACATTTGCATATTATTGAATTGTAGATTCTAAGTATTCTGTGAAGGACTGCTGGATGCTAATTTTAATGAGCTGCCAAGGAATCTGTGTATTTAATCGCATACTGTAGTGATGTCAAAAATTGGTAACTTTAAACTTCTTCTTGAACACTTTTAAGTTTGGTCTAAAAATGAGAGCTAAACGTACGTTGATCTGTTTGACATTCTGCATTAGGCATCATTCGTCATGAATAGATCTTTGGGCACTAAGATGAAATCGAGGATGCATTTAGGTCATTTTTAGGTTGTTTTTCTGCTGAAAAGTTGTGCTGAGAGATACTTTAACAAGAGATGTCCTTTGCCATAGCACTTCACAATACTGTGGTTGACAAATAGTCAGTCCTCTGACTAATTCTAGGTTCAGAGTTCTTTTCTACTAGTATTGAACTATGACTTTATTCTTTACAGGAACTTTTCACATCACAAGTGTAAACATCAATGTAAAATTTGGTTTCTTTTTTTTTTCTTCTGTGTGATTTTTGAAAAGTTGAATTTAACGTCTTTGTTTTGAAAAAAGATAATATTTTACTAACATAGAGAAATAATGCGATCGGAATGGCTCGATAGGAATAATTGCTTACGGTAATTGTTTACGACTTGTCGGCAATTAATGAGTTTGGAAGTTTTCTTAATCGTAAGCTAAATACATAGTGAGAATATTCTGCCTTCAATTTAACCAGAAGAGTTTGTTCTCTGTGACTACCTTTGTTAGGTAGACGAATTTCACTAAGGGTACAATGTCGTATATTAAATCATAAAAATTCGTAAACAATTATTAAGAATGATTTTGATGCTCCAATTGGCAAAGATTAGTTTGCAAATATTTTAAAAGCAAGTTTACGTCTTTGCTCTTTTTTTTTTTTTTTTTTTTTTAATTCAACTGCAACAAGTAATGTCCGGTTGACGGATAGCTTTTCAAGATTAATGAGCTTTATCTATCCGGATTTCTCTAAAATTAACAAATCCACTAGACTAATAAAACCACTGCTCTGTCTGAACTTTTAGTTCAGATCTTTTGGCTTGGCGATCCTACCGAAACATACGCCACACTGAAATCTTTTGCATCTGATAATTTATTATCGCAGATTGATCAAATCGAATGAGAAACTTCTACAACCGTATTATCTTCTACAAAAGTAAACAAATATTGTTTATTACTTACTGATAATAATGAAATTGTAAAATTTTTATAGAAAAGGAATGCAAAGGTAATATTTTTCTGCAACAATTAGTATGAAAAGTAGTCATTCATTACATTGCACCTCATCTAATACTTCCTAAAGTGGTGCAAGTTAATTTATCACTTTTATCACATATATTTAATGTCATTCTATTCTATTAAGAGAAAACTCTTTTTAACTTTTCATACAAATTTATGTTTAAAATTAAATGATAACTTTTCTAACAAATTAAAGGTAATATCGATAATGAAATCAATGGCATTAAAAAATGTTTGAGGTCAATCGATGATATTTGATTTAATATAATTTCATTTTTTTTTTTTTGATGTTTATTTTTATAATTAAAAAATGGTAAATTATCCTGAATGCATGATTGCATGATGCAATCCTTAAGCATGCATGCATATCAGTAACATATAAAAAATTTTTTAGTAATTTGCAAGCATTACAGGTATTAGAGATGTGATAATAATAGAAACAGTATTGTTACATCATTTCATTTCAGGTGGCCTTCATCTTGAATTCCATTTTGTTATCACTCAAAATAGATCCCAGTACATCTTTTGTTATCATTTCTTTCTGCAAATTAGCATTTACAGTTTCACTGATATAATAGAAAGATTATAATGCAAATTATGTTAAAGCAAACAGTGAATAACAAATTTAAAATATCCAAAAATTTCAGCTTTTTTTTTTTTTTTTGTAAACTAAAATTGTGAAAGATTTATTCATTCAATTTGTTTTTCTTTTTGAAATGAAAAGAATGAAACTTAACAAAGCAAAAGCAAAGCTTGCATATAAGAAACAACATCTATGATGATAATGACATCAGTTTAACTTTTAAATAAAGTACTATTTAAATGTGTTCCTTCAAAATTTCTTTCAGAAATCCTTTGTTCCTTATTGAAAAAATTCTCAAATGTTGATAAAGTGCGCCTTGTTAACTTCTCTCGAAAAACTCTCGAAAAACCTTTATGCTTATCTATTAGCTTTTCGTTGATTCTCACAAGTTATACCTTTCTATTCGAATCAACATTTTTCATTTTTAAGTTTGAAAGTGTAAAAAAAATTTTTTTTTACATTCCAGTACTAAATGATAAATAACTCTAAAATAGTAATACCTTCTTTCGTCAGTCTCAATTTTCAGGAATGCAACAACAATTTTGACTTAGATTAAATAATTGTACATTTAGACAAACAGAAATGAACTGATAAGATGCGGAAGCGTAATGAAAAGATGAAGCCGGAATGCGTAACTGAGACGGACTGAATTATAAGTTATTTGTAGTGAAATTCTACTACAAACATATTAATTACATGATTTTTCATTTATTTTTTATGAAATTATTTCGAGAAGAAAAAA